GGCTGTACAAGGAGCCCACGGCCAGGTCCCGATTTCCCCCTCCCCAAACCCCAAAATTTCCCCATAAATCCCAAAATTTCCCCCAAATTTTCCCCCAAATCTCCCAATTTTCCCCCTAAATCCCCGAATTTTCCCAAAATCCCCCAAATTTCCCCCAAATCTCCCCCGCAGGTCCGAGGCTGTACAAGGAGCCCACGGCCAGGTCCAACCGGCCGCTGATCCAGAACGCTCTGGCCCACTGCGTGCTGGCCGGGACCCCCAACGCCCCCCTGAGGGCCAAGGTGCTGCAGGTGAGACCCCAAAAACCCCAAAAAAACCCAAAAACCTCACAGGCAAACGGGGAGCCAAAAAAACCCCAAAGGGAGCTCAAAAAACCCCAAAATCCTGCAGCGATCCTAAAGGAACATAGAGATCCTAAATCATCCTGAGGGATCAAAGGGCTGCAGGTGAGACCCCAAAAACCCCAAAAAAACCCCAAAAGTAACCCAAAAATCCTACCGAAAAATGGGGAGCCCAAAAAAACCCAAAGGGAGCCCAAAAAACCCCAAAGGGAGCCCAAAAGAACCCCAAAGGGCCCCCAAAAAACGCCAAAATCCTACAGAGATCCTAAAGGAACAAAGTGCTGCAGGTGAGACCCCAAAAACCCAAAAAACCCCAAAAGAGCCCCAAAAACCTCACAGAAAATTGGGGAGCCCAAAAAACCCCAAAGGGAGCCCAAAAGAACCCCAAAGGGCCCCCAAAAAACGCCAAAATCCTACAGAGATCCTAAAGGAACAAAGTGCTGCAGGTGAGACCCCAAAAACCCAAAAAACCCCAAAAGAGCCCCAAAAACCTCACAGAAAATTGGGGAGCCCAAAAAACCCCAAAGGGAGCCCAAAAGAACCCCAAAGGGCCCCCAAAAAACGCCAAAATCCTACAGAGATCCTAAAGGAACAAAGTGCTGCAGGTGAGACCCCAAAAACCCCAAAAGAGCCTCAAAAATCCCACAGAAAAATGGGGAGCCCAAAAAACCCCAAAGGGAGCCCAAAAGAACCCCAAAGGGCCCCCAAAAAACGCCAAAATCCTACAGAGATCCTAAAGGAACAAAGTGCTGCAGGTGAGACCCCAAAAACCCCAAAAGAGCCTCAAAAATCCCACAGAAAAATGGGGAGCCCAAAAAACCCCACAAGGAGTCCAAAAAACCCCAAAATCCTGCAGCGATCCTAAAGGAACAAAGAGATCCTAAATCATCCTGAGGGATCAAAGTGCTGCAGGTGAGACCCCAAAAACCCAAAAAAACCCCAAAAGAGCCCCAAAAATCCCACAGAAAAATGGAGAGCCCAAAAACCCCAAAGGGAGCCCAAAAAACCCCAAAATCCTGCAGCGATCCTAAATTGTCCTGAGGGATCAAAGTGCTGCAGGTGAGACCCCGAAAAAACCCTAAAAAAATTTCCACAAACCCCCCAAAAACCCCCAAAACCCACCAGAAATCTCCTTAAAAAACCCCACAAATCCCCCACAAAAACGCCACAAATCCCTCAAAAAACCCCATAAAAACCCCAAAAATCCCCCAAAAACCTGAGAAATCCCCCAAAAATCCCAAAAAAATCCCATAAATTCCCCAAAAATACCTCAAATCACCCCAAAGATGCTGCGTTCACCCCAAAAATCCCCCATAAACGCCCATAGACACCCCAAAAAACCCCAGAAAACCTCAAAAAACCCTCAAAAAAACCCCAAAAAATCAAAAAAAATCCTTCAAAAAACCCTCAAAAAATCCCCAAAAATTCCAAAAAAAATCCCAAGAAATCCCACAAAAAATTCCCAAAAAGTCCCAAAAAAATTTCCATAAATCCCCCCAAAAGACCTCAAATCACCCCACAGATGGCGCCACCACCCCAAAACCCCCCCATAAACCCCCATAGACACCTCAAAAAAAACCCCAAAAATCCTCAAAAAAACCCCACAAAATCCCAAAAAAAGCCAAAAAATTCCCAAAAAGTCCCAAAAAAATTTCCATAAATCCCGCCAAAAGACCTCAAATCACCCCACAGATGGCGCCACCACCCCAAAAATCCCCCATAAACCCCCATAGACACCTCAAAAAAAACCCCAAAAATCCTCAAAAAAACCCCAAAAAATCCCAAAAAAAGCCAAAAAATTCCCAAAAAATCCCCCCAATATTTCCATAAATCCCCCATAAAGACCACAAATCACCCCTCAGATGGCGCCATCACCCCAAAAACCCCCCATAGACACCCCAAAAAACCCCCACCGCAAAACCCCCCCATTAACCCCCATAGACACCCCAAAAAACCCCATAAAACCTCAAAAAACCCTCAAAAAATCCCAAAAAAATGCCAAAAAATTCCCAAAAAACCCCAAAAAATCCCAAAAAAAGCCAAAAAATTCCCAAAAAATCCCCCCAATATTTCCATAAATCCCCCATAAAGACCTCAAATCACCCCTCATTCCATAAATCCCCCAAATCACCCCATAGATGCTGCATTCACCCCAAAAATCCCCCATAAACCCCCATAGACACCCCATAAAATCTCAAAAAAAACCCCAAAAATTCCCAAAAAACCCCAAAATTTCCCAAAAAAACCCCAAAATCTCCTTTTTTTTCAGGAGATGGAGCAGAGCTCGGCGCAGCAGCTGCTGATCCTGTTCCGGGACGGGGGCTGCCAGTTCCGGGGCGTTTACGCCCTGGGGGGGATCCCCCCGACCCTAAAGCGCCTCTCGGGCTCGGGACCCCGCAGCGTCCCCCTGCCCATGGTGGAGGCTCTCTACAAGTACCAGTCGGACCAGCGGCGCTTCTGCCGCCTCCCGGCGCGCACCATGAGCGGCAGCGTGGACGCCTTCACCATCCCCGGGCACCTGTGGCACCCCAAAAAGCCGGGCACCCCCAAATAAAACCCCAAAAAACGGGGCTGACCCCAAAAACGATCCCGTTGTGTGTGCTTCATTAATGGGGGTTTGGGGGGATTTGGGGATGTTTGGGGACACTTGGAATGGGTTTATGGGGACACTTTCATCGGCCTCAGACATCTGTGCCACCCCTCAGGGCATGGCACCCCCCAAAAAAACCCAGAACCCAAAAAAAATTGGGGTGAAAACCCCAAAAATGACCCCAAAACCGATCCTATTGAGTGCGCTTTGTGTTATCCTTAATGGGGGTTTGGGGACATTTGGGGACATTTGGGGACATTTGGGGACATTTGGAATGGGTTTATGGGGACACCGTCACCATCCCCAGGAAGCTGTGCCACCCCTCAGGGCATGGCACCCCAAAAAAAATCCCAGAACCCCCAAAAAATTGGGGTAAAAACCCCAAAAAATGACCCCAAAACCGATCCTATTGAGTGCGCTTTGAGTCAGATTTGGGACGTTTGGGGACATTTTGGGACATCTGGGGACATTTGGGGACAGCTGGATTTGGTTCAGGGGGTGTCATCCCCTCCCAGGGACGCCTTCACCATCCCCGGGCACCTGTGGCACCCCAAGAAACCGGGGACCCCGAAATAAAACCCCAAAAAACGGGGCTGACCCCAAAAACGAGCGGCTCTTGGTGTTGGTGTTTAATGGGGACATTGGGGATATTTGGGGATGTTTGGGGACACCTGGAATGAGTTCAGGGGGTGTCATCCCCACCCAGGGACGCCTTCACCATCCCCGGGCACCTGTGGCACCCCAAAAAGCCGGGCACCCCCAAATAAAACCCCAAAAAACGGGGCTGACCCCAAAAACCGATCCCGTTGTGTGCGCGCTTTGTGTCAGATTTGGGATGTTTGGGGACATTTGGGGACACCTGGAATGGGTTTAGGGGGACACCTTCATCGGCCTCAGACATCTGTGCCACCCCTCAGGGCATGGCACCCCCAAAAAAATCCCAGAACCCAAAAAAATTGGGGTGAAAACCCCAAAAAATGACCCCAAAATCGATCCTGTTGTGTGTGCGCTTTGTGTTATCCTTAATGGGGGTTTGGGGACATTTGGGGACACCTGGAATGGGTTTAGGGGGACACCTTCACCATCCCCAGGAAGCTGTGCCACCCCTCAGGGCATGGCACCCCAAAAAAAATCCCAGAACCCCAAAACAATTGGGGTAAAAACCCCAAAAAATGACCCCAAAAACGATCCCCTTGTGTGAGCTTCAAGTCAGATTTGGGATGTTTGGGGACATCTGGGGACATTTTTGGGACACCTGGAATGGGTTCAGGGGGTGTCATCCCCTCCCAGGGACGCCTTCACCATCCCCAGCCACCTGTGGCACCCCAAAAAGCCTGGGACCCCAAAAGAAATTGGGGTAAAAACCCCAAAAACGGGAATGGGGCCCCCTCTCAGGGATACCTGTGCCATCCCCTGGGTGCCTGTGGCACCCCAAAAAACCGGGAACCCCAAAATAAAACCCCAAAAAGGGGCTGACCCCAAAAAAATGTCCCCAAACCTCCCCTAAAAATGTCCCCAAACCTCCCCTAAAAATGTCCCCAAACCTCCCCTAAAATGGCCCCCAAAAATGTCCCCAAACTTCCCAAAAAATGTCCCCAACCTCCCCAAAAAATGTCCCCAAACCTCCCCTAAAATGGCCCCCAAAAATGTCCCAAAACCTTCCCAAAAATGTCCCCAAACTTCCCAAAAAATGTCCCCAACCTCCCCAAAAATGTCACAAAACTCTCCCAAAAATTGTCCCCAAATCTCCCTAAAAAATGTCCCCAAACCTCCCCAAAAATGTCCCCAATGTCCCCCTAAAATGAGACAAAATGGGGACACTGGGGTGGCACTGAGGGGACACTTTGGGGACACTCAGAGGACACCATGGGGACACTTTGGGGACACTGGGGACACTCTGGGGACACTGAGGACATCAAGGGGACATCAAGGGGACACTGGGGTGGCACCATGGGGACACTGGGAGGACATTGAGGGGACACTGAGGGGACACTGAGGGGACACTGGGGACATCAAGGGGACACTGGGGACACTTTGGGGACACTTTGGGGACACTTTGGGGACACTCCGAGGACATTGAGGGGACACTGGGGACATCAAGGGGACGTTGGGGACATCAAGGGGACGTTGGGGACATCAAGGGGACATCAAGAGGACACTGGGGTGGCACTGGGAGGACACTGAGGGGACACTGAGGACATCAAGGGGACATCGAGGTGGCACCATGGGGACACTGGGGACATCAAGGGGACATCAAGGGGACACTCTGGGGACACCGGGTGGGCTCACGGGGGGCTGTCCCCAAGTGTCCCCAAGCAGCTGGGGACAGCCTGGTGACAACGCCATCGTTTATTGCTGTGACACCGGGGGGTGGCAGCGGTGACACCTCAGGGACACCTCGGGGACACCTCGGTGACACCTTGGGGACACCTTGGGGACACCTTGGGGACACCTTGGTGACACCTTGGGGACCCCGGTGTCACACGCTGGTGGCCTGGCTGTCGTTGCCACCCCTCGGGGACACCTTGGGGACACCGTGGGGACACCTTGGGACACCTTGGGGACACGGGTGTCACACGCTGGTGGCCTGGCCGTCGTCGCTGCCCCCTGGGGACACCTTGGGGACACCGCGGGGGTGGCCGCGGGTCCTGCGCAGCTCCTGCTCCAGCCCCGAGAGGCGCCGCTCCTGCGGGGACACGCGTGGCACCCAGGGGACACGGGGGACACCCAGGGGACACCCAGGGGTCACCGAGGGGTCACCTCACTGTCACCTCCCTGTCACCAAGGTGTCACCTCTGGGTGACCCTCTGGGTCATCTCTGTGTCACCTCCAGGTCATTTTGGTGTCACCTGTCATCTCTAGGTCACCCTCTGTGTCACCTCAGTGTCACCTTGGTGTCACCCTCTGTGTCCCCTGTGTCACCTCTGTGTCACCTCCCTGTCACCTCCAGGTCACTTTGGTGTCACCTCTGTGTCCCCTCAATGTCACTCCATGCTCCCCAAATGTCCCTCCAGTGTCCCCTCAATGTCCCCCAGTGTCCCCCCCCCAGTGTCACCAGTCCCCCCCAGTGCTCCCAGTCCGTCCCAGTCTCACCAGTTCCCTCTCTCTCTCCTCGGTGCTTTTCAGCCTCTCCAGGTCCTTCCTGCGGCTGCCCTCGGCCGCCGTCAGCCTGGGGACAAACTGGGATAAACTGGGGCAAACTGGGATAAACTGGGGACAAACTGGGATAAACTGGGACAAACTGGGATAAACTGGGACGGGGACAGATAAACTGGGACAAACTGGTGCAAACTGGCCTTCTACCTGCTCTCCTTCTTCTACTACCTGTACAGGTGAGCTGGGAACCTGGGGACAAACTGGGATAAACTGGGGCAAACTGGGATAAACTGGGGACAAACTGGGATAAACTGGGACAAACTGGGATGGGGACAAACCCTAATTTCGGGGCATCCACCTCAATTTCTGGATGCCCCACCCCATTTTCGGTGTTCCCAGCCCCGATTTCGGGGTTCCCAGCTCCAATTTCGGTGTTCCCCGCCCCAAGTTCGGGTTTCCCCACCCCAATTTCGGTGTTCCCAGACCCATTTTTGGGGTTCCCCACCCCATTTTCGGTGTTCCCAACCCCGATTTCGGGGTTCTCCGCCCCAATTTGGGGGTGCCCAGACCCGATTTCGGTGTTCCCAGACCCATTTTTGGGGTTCCCCACCCCATTTTCGGTGTTCCCAACCCCGATTTCGGGGTTCTCCGCCCCAATTTGGGGGTGCCCAGACCCGATTTCGGTGTTCCCAGACCCATTTTTGGGGTTCCCCACCCCATTTTCGGTGTTCCCAACCCCGATTTCGGGGTTCTCCGCCCCAATTTGGGGGTGCCCAGACCCGATTTCGGTGTTCCCAGACCCATTTTTGGGGTTCCCCACCCCATTTTCGGTGTTCCCAACCCCGATTTCGGGGTTCCGATCAGGCAGGATTTGGAACGATCAGGAAGGATTTGGGATCGATCAGGCAGGATTTGGGATCGATCAGGAAGGATTTGGGATCGATCAGGAAGGATTTGGGATCGATCAGGAAGGTTTGGGATCGATCAGGCAGGATTTGGAATCGATCAGGAAGGATTGGGATCGATCAGGAAGGATTTGGGATCGATCAGGAAGGTTTGGGATCGATCAGGAAGGATTGGGGATCGATCAGGAAGGATTGGGATCGATCAGGAAGGATTGGGATCGATCAGGAAGGATTGGGATCGATCAGGCAGGATTTGGGATCGATCAGGCAGGATTTGGGATCGATCAGGAAGGATTGGGATCGATCAGGAAGGTTTGGGATCGATCAGGAAGGATTGGAATCGATCAGGAAGGATTGGGATCGATCAGGCAGGATTTGGGATCGATCAGGAAGGTTTGGGGGCACCCGCTGCCCGCACCCCGGGATGGGGGCGCGGTGTCCCCACAGACCCCAAAGGGCAGAGGGGACACGGGGCGGCCGCACCCCCCTCCAGGAGGGGTTTGGGGCACCCCTGGGTCTGCCCCGGCCCCGGCACCCCCCAGGGGTCCCCAGAATGGTTTTGGGGTGACAAAGGGTGGCGTGAGCTGATCCCCGATGTGGGATGGCCCCACGGATTTGGGGTCTGGGAAAAGGGGGCTGGGGTCACCCCTGGATTTGGGGTCTGGGAAAAGGGGGCAGGGGTTTCCCCTGGATTTGGGGTGTCCCCATCCCCTCTCCCTGCTCCATCCCCTGCCCCTGTCCCCGTCCCTTGTGGGGTGTCCAGGTCACCCCGCTTGTCCTCAGGGGGGATTCAGGGGTCCCATCTCCCCTCAGCCAGGATTTGGGGGTCCCACGTCCTCCCGACCACGGTTTGGGGGTCACATCTCCCCCTGTCACGGTTTCAGGGGTCCCGTGTCCCCTCCGCCGGGTTTTGGGGTCCTGTCTGCCCTCGGTGGCTCCTTCTCCGCTCCTGGGGAGCACTGGGAGACTCCCAGTCCATCCCAGTCCGTCCCAGTCCATCCCAGTCCGTCCCAGTCCGTCCCAGTCTCACCAGTTCCCTCTCTCTCTCCTCGGTGCTTTTCAGCCTCTCCAGGTCGTTCCTGCGGCTGCCCTCGGCCGCCGTCAGCCTGGGGACAAACTGGGATAAACTGGGGCAAACTGGGATAAACTGGGGACAAACTGGGATAAACTGGGACAAACTGGGACAAACTGGGACGGGGACAAACCCTAATTTAGGGGCATCCACCTCAATTTCTGGATGCCCCACCCCAATTTCGGTGTTCCCCGCCCCAATTTCGGGTTTCTCCACCCCATTTTCGGTGTTCCCCACCCCAATTTCGGTGTTCCCAACCCCAATTTCGGGTTTCTCCACCCCATTTTCGGTGTTCCCCACCCCAATTTCGGTGTTCCCAACCCCAATTTCGGGTTTCTCCACCCCATTTTCGGGGTTCCCCACCACCCCATTTTCGAGGTTCCCAGCTCCAATTTCGGTGTTCCCAGCCCCAATTTCGATGTTCCCAACCCCGATTTCGGTGTTCCCAGCCCCATTTTCGGTGTTCCCAACCCCGATTTCGGGGTTCCCCACCCCATTTTCGAGGTTCCCAGCTCCAATTTCGGTGTTTCCCAACCCCAATTTCGGGTTTCTCCACCCCATTTTCGGTGTTCCCCACCCCAATTTCGGTGTTCCTAGCCCCATTTTCAGGGTTCCCCGCCCCATTTTCGGGGTTCCCCACCCCATTTTCGGTGTTCCCAACCCCGATTTCGGGGTTCCCCACCCCATTTTCGGGGTTCCCCACCCCATTTTCGGTGTTCCCAGCCCCAATTTCGGTGTTTCCCAACCCCAATTTCGGGTTTCCCCACCCCAATTTCGGTGTTCCTAGCCCCATTTTCAGGGTTCCCCGCCCCATTTTCGGGGTTCCCCACCCCATTTTCGAGGTTCCCAGCTCCAATTTCGGTGTTTCCCAACTCCAATTTCGGGTTCCCCACCCCATTTTCGACGTGCCCCACTCTAATTTTGGGGAGTCCCACCTCATTTTCGAGGTTCCCCACCCCATTTTCGGGGTTCCCCGCCCCGATTTCGGTGACCCCAACCCCATTTTCGGGGTTCCCAGCTCCAGTTTCGGCGTTCCCCACCCCAATTTTCCGGTTTCTCCACCCCAATTTCGAGGTTCCTCGCACCGATTTCGGGGTTCCCAGCTCCAACTTCGGTGTTCCCCGCCCCAGTTTCGGTGTTCCCCGCCCCAAGTTCGGGGTTCCCCACCCCATTTTCGGGGTTCCCAGCCCCATTTTCCGAGTTTCCCAGCCCCATTTTCGGGGTTCCCAACCCCATTTTCGGTGTTTCCCAACTCCAATTTCGGGTTTCCCAACCCCATTTTCGGGGTTCCCCGCCCCGATTTCGGTGACCCCAACCCCATTTTCGGGGTTCCCAGCTCCAACTTCGGTGTTCCCAGCCCCGATTTCGGTGCCCCCAACCCCATTTTCGGGGTTCCCAACCCCATTTTCGGGGTTCCCAACCCCATTTTCGGGGTTCCCAACCCCATTTTCGGGGTTCCCAACCCCATTTTCGGGGTTCCCAACCCCATTTTCGGGGTTCCCAACCCCATTTTCGGGGTTCCCAACCCCATTTTCGGGGTTCCCAACCCCATTTTCGGGGTTCCCAACCCCATTTTCGGGGTTCCCAACCCCATTTTCGGGGTTCCCAACCCCATTTTCGGGGTGCCCCGCCCCGATTTCGGTGTTCCCCGCCCGAGTTTCGGGGTTCCCAGCCCCAATTTCGGTGTTCCCAGCCCCAGTTTCGGTGTTCCCAGCCCCGACCCATTTTCGGGGTTCCCAACCCCATTTTCGGTGTTTCCCAACTCCAATTTCGGGTTTCCCAACCCCATTTTCGGGGTTCCCCGCCCCGATTTCGGTGTTCCCCGCCCCAGTTTCGGGGTTCCCCCCCGGTTTGGGGGTGCCCCCGCACCTTGCGGCCAGGTTGGCGGCGCGGGCCGAGCCCTCGTCCAGCTGCGCCCGCAGCCGCTCCAGGCGCTGCCGCTGCCGCTCCTCGGCCCGCGCCGCCCGCGCCTCCGCCCGCTCCAGGCGCTCCCGCAGCTCCGCCAGCTCCTCCCGCAGCGCCTCCAGCAGCCGCCCGTGCTGGGGACACCGGGACACGGTCACCGGGACACCGGGACAGCGTCACCGGGGCTTGGGGACACCGGGAAGGAGTTACCGGAGGTGTCACCCACCCCCGGTCACCTCCTCCAGCAGCCGCCCGTGCTGGGGACAGCGAGACAGGGACACTGGGGCTTGGGGACACCGGACAGGGTCACCGGGACAGGGACACTTGGGCTTGGGGACACTGTAACGGGGTCACCGGGGCTTGGGGACACCGGGATGGGGTCACAGAGGGGGTCACCGGGGGCTGGGGACACCGGGGACGAGGTTACCGGGTGACACCGGGAGGACACCATGGGACACTGAGGGACACCGGGGAGACACCGTTGGACACCGGGTGACACCGTGGGGACACCGGGGGAATACCGGGTGACATCGGGAGGACACCGGGTGACACTGGGAGGACACCGTGGGACACCAGGGGACACCAGGGGACACCGTGGGACACCAGGGGACACTGAGGGACACCGGGAGGACACCGTGGGGACACCGGGTGACCCCGGGGGACACCGGAGGACACCGTGGGGACACCGTGGGAATACCGGGGGACACCGGGGGACACCAGGGGACACCGTGGGCACCAGGGGACACCGTGGGACACCAGGGGACACCGTGGGACACCAGGGGACACCGTGGGACACCAGGGGACACTGAGGGACACCGGGAGGACACCGTGGGGACACCGGGTGACCCCGGGGGACACCGGAGGACACCGTGGGGACACCGTGGGGATACCGGGTGACACCGGGGGACACCAGGGGACACCGGGTGACAGCGGGGACCGTCCCCAGCCCCGGGGTTACCTTTTCGAGCGGCCGCAGCGCGTAGAGCTCGCCCGGCGCCGCCGCGTCCTCGGCCAGGCGCTGCCACGGCACCGTGGATTTGCGCGGCAGCGACGCCGACGAGCGCAGCTTCCCCCGGGGCTGCGACAGCGACAGCCGTTACCGGCCGGGAGTGGCACCGGACACCCGGTAATGGCCCGGTAATGGCAGTGCCACTCCCGGTAATGGCAGCGCGACACCCGGTAATGGCACCGGGACAGCCGGTAATGTCCCGGGAGTGGCACCGACACCCGGTAATGGCCCGGTAATGGCAGCGCCACTCCCGGTAATGGCAGCGCGACACCCGGTAATGGCACCGGGACAGCCGGTAATGTCCCGGGAGTGGCACCGACACCCGGTAATGGCACCGGGACACCCGGTAATGTCCCGGTAATGGCAGCGGACACCCGTTAATGTCCCGTTAATGGCATTGTGACACTGTCATTGTCACTGGGGCACCGGTTAGTGCCACCTGAACCCAGCTAATGCCACCACACCCCATTTAGTGCCACCACACGCCCATTAATGCCACCAGACCCTAATCAGTGTCACCACACCCCCGTTAGTGCCACCCGAGCCCAGTTAATGCCACCACACCCTGGATAGTGCCACCAGAACCGAGTTAGTGCCATCTGGACTGAGCTAGTGCCACCACACCCCATTTAGTGCCACCACAGCCCCGTTAGTGCCACCACACCCTGGATAGTGCCACCACACCCCCGTTAATGCCACCAGACCCTAATCAGTGTCACCACACCCCCGTTAGTGCCACCCGAGCCCAGTTAATGCCACCACACCCTGGATAGTGCCACCACACCCCCGTTAGTGCCACCTGAGCCCAGTTAATGCCACCTGAGCCCAGTTAGTGCCACCAGAACCCAGTTAGTGCCATCTGGACTGAGCTAGTGCCACCACACCCTGGATAGTGCCACCACACCCCGGTTAGTGCCACCACAGCCCCGTTAATGCCACCACACCCTGGTTAGTGCCACCAGAACCGAGTTAGTGCCATCTGGACTGAGCTAGTGCCACCACGCCCCTGTTAGTGCCACCAAACCCCGGTTAGTGCCACCACGCCCCCGTCAGTGCCACCGGAACCCAGTTAGAGCCACCACACCCCCTTTAGTGCCACCACACCCCCGTTAATGCCACCACACCCCCGTTAGTGCCACCACACCCCCGTTAGTGCCACCAGAACCGAGTTAGTGCCATCTGGACTGAGCTAGTGCCACCACACCCCTGTTAGTGCCACCACACCCTGGTTAGTGCCACCCCCATTAGTGCCACCACACCCCATTAATGCCACCGCACCCCATTTAGTGCCACCCCCGTTAATGCCACCACACCCCCATTAGTGCCACCACACCCCATTAATGCCACCACACCCCATTTAGTGCCACCCCCGTTAATCCACCCACACCCCCATTAGTGCCCCCACACCCCATTAATGCCACCACACCCCATTTAGTGCCACCCCCGTTAATGCCACCCCCGTTAATGCCACCACCCCCCTCGGACCACCGGCGCCCGCCCCACCGCGCAGCCCCCCCGCCCCTCGGCCCGGTGCCACCGGCACTCACCGGGCCATCGGCGGGCACAGGTGACGCGGTGCCACCCTCGGGCGGTGTCGCCTCGGCCGCGTGCCCGGCGCTGTCCGGCCCGGCCTTGCCCTGGGCTGGCACGCTCTGGGCGCGCTGGACACCGCGGCGGCGCCGGGCTGGCACCGGGACCGGCACCGGGGAGGGCGCCGGGGAGGGCTCCGGGGACGGCTCCGGGTCTGTCGCTGTCGCTGTCGCTGTCCCCTCGTCGCGGCCACCGCGGAGGCGCCAGACGCTGGTCAGGGACTGGCTCTTGATGAGGGGGCTGAGCTTGCCCGGGTCCCGCGGGGGGACAAAGCCCGGCCTGGGGGGCTCCGAGGGGCTGCGGGGACAGGGGGACAAAGGGATGGGGGACAGAGGGACCCAAACCCTGGTGGGACCAGAGGGACCCCAAACCCTGGTGGGATTTGAGGGGACCCCAAACCCTGGTGGGATCACAGAGACCCCAAACCCTGATGGGATCAGAGAGACCCCAAATCCTGGTGGGATCACAAAGACCCCAGACCCTGGTGGGACCCCAAATCCTGGTGGGACCAGAGGGGACCCCCAAATCCTGGTGGGATTTGAGGGACCCCAAACCCTGGGGGGATCAGAGGGACCCCAAATCCTGGTGGGATCCCAAACCCTGGTGGGATCAGAGGGACCCCAAACCCTGGTGGGATCAGACCCATCTCCCAACCCCAGACGGACCCCAAATCCCGACACCCATGTGTCCCCCTTGTCCCCAGCTGTCCCCAGGTGTCCCTCTTGTCCCCAGCTGTCCCCACTGTCCCCAGGTGTCCCCAGGTGTCCCTCAGCACCTCCTCCTGGCGCTGGAGCTGAGGCGGACGGACACGGGGACGGGCGTCCCCTCCCTGATGGCCCTGAGGATGGTGGGCAGCGGCTCCAGCTCCTCCTGCGTGGCCTACGGGGACACCACGGGGACATCACGGGTGGCCCGCCGGACACGGAGGGCCCCTCCGGGGACAGAGGGGTGGTGGCACCTGGTCGAGGCTGGAGAAGATGTCACAGAGCAGCAGGTGGAGCGTGGCCAGCTCCAGGGCCAGGTCCACGTAGCCCTCGTAGGTGGCCATGTGGGCGCTGGCCTCGGGGGTGGCCACGGCCTGCAGGAACTCGGTCATGGTGGCCCAGTTCTGCTCCAGGAAGGCGTTCATGAAGGTCATGTAGGGCTCCTTCTCGCCAAACCTGGGGGCAGCGGCGCGGGCTGGGGTCACCACCAGGGTCTGGGGTCATCACAGTGGTCATGGGGTCACTGATATGGCCTGGGGTCATCGTCACGGTCTGGGGTTACCACCATGATCTGGGGTCATCATCGTGGTCATGGTCAGGGGTCATCATCATGGTCTGGGGTCACCACCATTGTCATGGTCAGGGGTCACCACCGTGGCCTGGGGTCACCACCATGGTCTGGAGTCATCATCATCATCCCCCTCATTAGGATGAGGGGGACCCCAAACCCTGGTGGGATCACAGGGACCCCAAACCCTGATGGCCACTCGTAGGTGGCCATGTGGGCGCTGGCCTCGGGGGTGGCCACGGCCTGCAGGAACTCGGTCATGGTGGCCCAGTTCTGCTCCAGGAAGGCGTTCATGAAGGTCATGTAGGGCTCCTTCTCGCCAAACCTGGGGGCAGCGGCGCGGGCTGGGGTCACCACCAGGGTCTGGGGTCATCACAGTGGTCATGGGGTCACTGATATGGCCTGGGGTCATCGTCACGGTCTGGGGTTACCACCATGATCTGGGGTCATCATCGTGGTCATGGTCTGGGGTCATCGTCATGCCCTGTTAGCAGGATGAGGGGGACCCCAAACCCTGGTGGTCATGGTCTGGGGTCATCAGCATGGTGTGGGGTCACTGACAGGGTCATGGGGTCATCATCATGGTCATGGGGTCACCACTAGGGTCATTGTCATGGTCTGGGGTCATCAGCATGGTGTGGGGTCACTGACAGGGTCATGGGGTCATCATCATGGTCATGGGGTCACCACCAGGGTCTGGGGTCATTGTCACAGTCTGGGGTCATCAACATGGTGTGGGGTCACTGACAGGGTCATGGGGTCATCATCGTGGTCATGGTCAGAGGTCATCGTCATGGTCTGGGGTCATCATCGTGGTCATGGTCAGAGGTCATCGTCATGGTCTGGGGTCATCATCGTGGTCATGGTCAGAGGTCATCGTCATGGTCTGGGGTCATCATCGTGGTCATGGTCAGAGGTCATCGTCATGGTCTGGGGTCATCATCGTGGTCATGGTCAGAGGTCATCGTCATGGTCTGGGGTCATCATCGTGGTCATGGTCAGAGGTCATCGTCATGGTCTGGGGTCATCATCGTGGTCATGGTCAGAGGTCATCGTCATGGTCTGGGGTCATCATCGTGGTCATGGTCAGAGGTCATCGTCATGGTCTGGGGTCATCATCGTGGTCATGGTCAGAGGTCATCGTCATGGTCTGGGGTCATCATCGTGGTCATGGTCAGAGGTCATCGTCATGGTCTGGGGTCATCATCTGGGGACAAGCCAAACTTGGAGACAACCCAGCTGTCCCATGATGCATTGGGGACAACCAAACTTAGGGACAACCCAGACTTGGGGACATCCCAAACTTGGGGACAAGCCAAACCTGGGGACAACCCAAATGCCCTATGATGCACTGGGGACAACCCAAACTTGGGGACAACCCAAACTTGGGGACAACCCAAACTTGGGGACAGCCCAAACCTGGGGACAATCCAGACTTGGGGACAATCCAGACTTGGGGACAACCCAAACTTGGGGGAAATCCAAATTTGGGGACAATTCAAACTTAGGGACAACCCAACTACCCCATGATGCACTGGGGACATCCCAAACTTGGGGACATCCCAAACTTGGGGTGTCCCCAAAAACTTGGGGGAAATCCAAATTTGGGGACAATTCAAACTTAGGGACAACCCAACTACCCCATGATGCACTGGGGACATCCCAAACTTGGGGACAACCTAAATGCCCTGTGGTATCTTGGGGACAACCCAAATTTGGGGACAATCCAAACTTGGGGACAACCCAAACCTGGGGACAACCCAAACTTGGGGACATCCCAAACTTGGGGACAACCCAAATGCCCTATGATGCACTGGGGAAAATCCAAACTTGGGGACAACCCAAACTTGGGGACAACCTAAATGCCCTGTGGTATCTTGGGGACAACCCAAATTTGGGGACAATCCAAACTTGGGGACAACCCAAATTTGGGGACAACCCAAACTTGGGACAACCCAGACTTGGGGACAACCCAACGTGGGGACAACCCAAACTTGGGGACAACCCAGACCTGGGGACAACCCAAATGCCCTATGATGCACCAGGGACAATCCAGACTTGGGGACAACCCAAACTTGGGGACAACCCAAACTTGGGGACAACCCAAACTTGGGGACAACCCAAACTTGGGGACAACCCAAACTTGGGGACAACCCAAACTTGGGGACAACCCAAACTTGGGGACAGCCCAAACCTGGGGACAATCCAGACTTGGGGACAATCCAGACTTGGGGACAACCCAAACTTGGGGGAAATCCAAATTTGGGGACAATTCAAACTTAGGGACAACCCAACTACCCCATGATGCACTGGGGACATCCCAAACTTGGGGACAACCTAAATGCCCTGTGGTATCTTGGGGACAACCCAAATTTGGGGACAACCCAAACTTGGGGACAACCCAGACCTGGGGACAACCCAAATGCCCTATGATGCACCAGGGACAATCCAGACTTGGGGACAACCCAAACTTGGGGACAACCCAGACTTGGGGACAACCCAACGTGGGGACAACCCAAACTTGGGGACAACCCAGATTTTGCGACAATCCAAACTTGGGGACAATCCAGACTTGGGGACAACCCAAACCTGAGGACAACCCAACCGCCCCACAACCCTCCGCAGAGCACAGACGGGACATCCCCAGGTCCCCACGTCCCCACGGCCACCTACGTGGTGAAGTTGGCCAGGTTCTGGATGACCTTGGCCACCAGCGTGAGGGTGCGGGCGGTGGCCTCGCCGGGGTACTCCTGGACGAGGCCGAAGAGGCTCGGGGACATGATGGCGGGGCAGAGGAACCGCAGGAAGAGCGAGGCCGACACCAGGCGCTGGCCGATGGCCGCCTTGCCGCGCGCCGCGCACGCCTGGCGCCACGCCGCGAACACCTCGCCCAGCTCCGCCGGGAACGACCTGGCCGGGGACACCGTGCTGGGGACAGGGGACCTGCCAGCGCCACCGCGGGGCGGTGGGGGCTTGGTGGCACCGCGGGTGGGGTGGGCGTCAAGTGGGTTTTGTGGTCATGTTCGTGTGGAGATCAGGGGTGGTGACCGTCACCATTTGTGTCCCCAGGTCCATCCTGGTGTCCATCTCTGCTCCTGTCCCTGTCCCCAAACTTGTCCCAGGTCCATGCTGGTGTCCATCCCATCCCTGTCCCCTGACTTGTCCCCGAGATCAGGGGTGGTGACCGTCACCATTTGTGTCCCTAGGTTTGTCCCCAGGTCCATCCTGGTGTCCATCCCATCCCTGTCCCCAGACTTGTCCCCGGGTCCATCCTGGAGTCCATCCCCATCCCTGTCACTCACGGCTGTCTCCAAACTTGTCCCCAAGTCCATCCTGGTGTCCATCCCCATCCCTGTCCCCAAACTTGTCCCTGTGTCCATCCTGGTGTCCATCCCTGTTCCCATCCCTGTCCCCAAAATTGTTTCGGGTCCATCCTGGTGTCCATCTCCACCCCTGTCACCCATGGATGTCTCCAAACTTGTCCTCAAGTCCATCTTGGTGTCCATCTTCATCTCTGTCCCCAAACTTGGCCCTAAACTTGTCCCCAAACTTGTCCCCAGGTCCATCCGAGTGTCCATCACCATCCCTGTCCCCAAACTTGTCTCTAAACTTGTCCTGGTCCATCCTGGTGTCCATCTCCATCCCTGTTCCTGTCCCTGTCCCCAAGCTTGTCCCCAGGTCCATCCGAGTGTCCATCCCCATCCCTGTCACTCATGGCTGTCTCCAAACTTGTCCCTGTGTCCATCCTGGTGTCCATCCCTGTTCCAATCCCTGTTCCCAAACTTGTCCCCAAGTCCATCTTGGTGTCCATCCCCATCCCTGTCCCCAAACTTGTCTCTAAACTTGTCCCAGGTCCATCCTGTCCCTGATCCCACCTCGTGTCCCAAGTTCTCCTGTCCCTGCTCCCACCCCGGGTGTCCCAGCTTCTCCCAGGTTCTCCTGTCCCTGCTCCCACCCCATGTCCCAGCTTCTCCTGTCCCAAATCCCATCCCTGTGTCCCAGCTTCTCCCAGCTTCTCCCAGGTTCTCCTGTCCCTGATCCTGTCCCCATCCCCCAGCTTCTCCCATCTTCTACTGTCCCTGCTCCCACCCCGTGTCCCAGCTTCTCCTGTCCCAAATCCCATCCCTGTGTCCCAGCTTCTCCCAGCTTCTCCCAGCTTCTCCTGTCCCCGGTGCCACCCCGGTGTCCCCGGTGTCCCCGCTGTCCCTCACTCGGAGCCGTCGGTGATGCGCCGCAGCGTCTCCTCGCAGACGTGCCGCAGGTGCTGCTGGTGCTCGGGCAGCTCCAGCCCCGAGCACCTGCTGGGATCCACCTCGGAGCTCCGCTCGGAGCTGCAGAGCTGGGCCACCAGCTCCCCTGGGGACAGGGGACAGCCCGTGAGGGGACCAAGGGGCCACCACCAGCTCCTCTGGGGACAGGGGACAGCCCGTGAGGGGACAGGGGACCCAGGGTGAGGGGACCGAGGGGTCACCAGCTTCCCTGGGGACAGGGGACAGCCCGTGAGGGGACAGGGGACAGCCCGTGAGGGGACCGAGGGGTCACCAGCTTCCCTGGGGACAGGGGACAGCCCGTGAGGGGACCGAGGGGTCACCAGCTTCCCTGGGGACAGGGGACAGCCCGTGAGGGGACCGAGGGGTCACCAGCTTCCCTGGGGACAGGGGACAGCCCGTGAGGGGACCGAGGGGTCACCAGCTTCCCTGGGGACAGGGGACAGCCCGTGAGGGGACCGAGGGGTCACCAGCTTCCCTGGGGACAGGGGACAGCCCGTGAGGGGACCGAGGGGTCACCAGCTTCCCTGGGGACAGGGGACAGCCCGTGAGGGGACCGAGGGGTCACCAGCTTCCCTGGGGACAGGGGACAGCCCGTGAGGGGACCGAGGGGTCACCAGCTTCCCTGGGGACAGGGGACAGCCCGTGAGGGGACCGAGGGGTCACCAGCTTCCCTGGGGACAGGGGACAGCCCGTGAGGGGACCGAGGGGTCACCAGCTTCCCTGGGGACAGGGCCCAAACCCCACCCCGTGTCCCAGCTTCTCCCAGCTTCTCCTGTCCCTGCTCCCACCCCATGTCCCAGCTTCTCCTGTCCCAAATCCCACCCCATGTCCCAGCTTCTCCCAGGTTCTATTGTCCCAAATCCCACCCAGCGTGTCCCAGCTTCTCCTGGCCCTGATCCCACCCCGTGTCCCAGTTTCTCCCAGCTTCTCCTGGCCCCGGTGCCTCCCCGGTGCCACCCCGGGTGTCCCAGTTTCTCCCACATTCTCCTGTCCCCGGTGCCACCCCGGTGTCCCCGGTGTCCCCGCTGTCCCTCACTCGGAGCCGTCGGTGATGCGCCGCAGCGTCTCCTCGCAGACGTGCCGCAGGTGCTGCTGGTGCTCGGGCAGCTCCAGCCCCGAGCACCTGCTGGGATCCACCTCGGAGCTCCGCTCGGAGCTGCAGAGCTGGGCCACCAGCTCCCCTGGGGACAGGGGACAGCCCGTGAGGGGACCAAGGGGCCACCACCAGCTCCTCTGGGGACAGGGGACAGCCCGTGAGGGGACAGGGGACAGCCCGTGAGGGGACCGAGGGGTCACTGGGGACAGGGGACAGCTTCCCTGGGGACAGGGGACAGCCCGTGAGGGGACAGGGGACAGCCCGTGAGGGGACCGAGGGGTCACCAGCTTCCCTGGGGACAGGGGACAGCCCGTGAGGGGACAGGGGACAGCCCGTGAGGGGACCGAGGGGCCACCAGCTCCCCTGGGGACAGGGGACAGCCCGTGAGGGGACCGAGGGGTCACCAGGGTGGGGAATGACAAGAGGAACCCACACCACGTCCCCACGGGTGGTCAGGGGTGTCCCACAGCCCAAGAGGGGACCAAGATGTCACCACCATGTCCCCATGGATTGGTCCCACAGCCCATGAGGGGACCGAGGTGTCACCACCATGTCCCCATGGGTGGTCCCACAGCCCATGAGGGGACTGAGGTGTCACCACCACGTCCCCATGGATGGTCAGGGGTGTCCCACAAGCCATGAGGGGACCGAGGTGTCACCACCATGTCCCCATGGGTGGTCCCACAGCCCATGAGGGGGCCGAGGTGTCACCGCCACGTCCCCACGGGTGGTCAGGGGTGTCCCACAGACCCTGACTGGTCATCAGGACAGAGATGGACAGGAGGAACCCCCACCATGTCCCCATGGGTGGTCAGGGGTGTCCCACAAGCCATGAGGGGACCAAGATGTCACCACCACGTCCCCATGGACTGGTCCCACAGCCCATGAGGGGACCGAGGTGTCACCACCACGTCCCCATGGATGGTCAGAGGTGTCCCACAGCCCCCGGAGGTGTCACCACCACGTCCCCATACCATGTCCCCATGGGTGGTCAGGGGTGTCCCACAAGCCATGAGGGGACCAAGATGTCACCACCACGTCCCCATGGACTGGTCCCACAGCCCATGAGGGGACCGAGGTGTCACCACCACGTCCCCATGGATGGTCAGAGGTGTCCCACAGCCCCCGGTGTCCTGTCCCCCCCGAGGTGTCCTGCCCCCTGCCACCCCCCGGGATGTCCCCGTGTCCCCTGCGCGTACCCAGCGTGTCCTGCAGGTACTTGGCCCCCACCAGCTTCATGTACTCGTCGATGGCCTTGGTGGCCAAGGTGTTCTCGCGGAAGATCAGCGCCTCGTGCTCGTCGAAGCGGTCGAGCTCGGCCACGCCCAGGTCGATCAGGAACGACTGCGGGGGGTTTGGGGAAGGGTTTGGTGGCACCTGTGACCCCAAGGGGCTCGGTGGCACCCGTGACCCCAAAGTGACCAAGTCGACCATGTTGGATCTTCTGGCAGTCTCATGAGTTGTGTTCTCCATGTCTACAGTCTTGTCCTGACCAACTCAAACCAACCCAGCACAACCCAACCCAACTCAACTCAACCCAACCTAACCCAACCCAACCCAACCCAACCCAACCCAACCCAACCTAACCCAATGCATCCATCTCATCCCAACCCAACTCAACTCAAACAACCCAACCCATCCCATCCCATCTTCACCCAACCCAACCTATCCTCACCCAACCCAGCCAACCCAACTCAACCAACCCAACCCAACCCAATCCAACTCATGCCAACCCAACCCAAGCCATCCCATCCTCACCCAACTGAACTCATCCAACCCAACCCAACCCAACTCAACCAACCCATCCCATCCTCACCCAACACAACCCATCCACACCCAACCCAACCCATCGAACCTAACCCAACCCATCCAACCCATCCCATCTTCACCCAAACCAATCAACACAACTCAACACAACTCAACACAACTCAACCCAACTCAACCCAACCCAACTTGGTCAACACAACACAACTCAACCCAACCCAACTTAGTCAACACAACTCAACCCAACCCAACTCAACCCAACCCAACCCAACCCAATGCATCCATCTCATCCCAACCCAACTCAACTCAACCCAACCCAACCCAACCCAACCCAACCTAACCCAATGCATCCATCTCATCCCAACCCAACTCAACTCAAACAACCCAACCCATCCCATCCCATCTTCACCCAACCCAACCTATCCTCACCCAACCCAGCCAACCCAACTCAACCAACCCAACCCAACCCAATCCAACTCATGCCAACCCAACCCAAGCCATCCCATCCTCACCCAACTGAACTCATCCAACCCAACCCAACCCAACTCAACCAACCCATCCCATCCTCACCCAACACAACCCATCCACACCCAACCCAACCCATCGAACCTAACCCAACCCATCCAACCCATCCCATCTTCACCCAAACCAAATCATTCAATCCAACTCATCCAACCCAACTCATCCAACCCAATCCAACCAAACCCAACCCATCCTATCTTCACCCAACCAAATCCAACTCATCTAACCCAGCCCATCTCATCTTCACCCAACCCAACCCATCCCATCCTCACCCAACACAACCCATCCACACCCAACCCAACCCGACCCATCTTCACCCAACCCAACTCATCCAATCCAACTCATCCTCACCCAACCCAACCCATCCTCACCCAACCCAACTTATCCAAGCCAACTCAAACCAAACCAATTCAACCCAACCCAACCCATCCCAACCCAATCCACCTCATCCCAGCCCATCCCAACCCAACCCAACTCATCCAACCCAACTCATCCTCACCCAACCCAACCTAGCCCAACCCAACTTATCCAAGCCAACTCAAACCAAACCAATTCAACCCAACCCAAACCATCCCAACCCAATCCACCTCATCCCAGCCCATCCCAACCCAACCCAACCCAACCCAACCCATCCAACCCAAGCCATGCTGTCCTCACCCAACTGAACTCATCCAACCCAACCCAACTCAACCAACCCATCCCATCCTCACCCAACACAACCCATTGGGACAAGAAGACAAAGGAAACAAGGGGGACAAGGGGACAATGGGACAAGGGGACAAGGAGACAAGTGACAAGGGACAAGGGACAATGGGACAAGGAGACAAGTGACAAGGGACAATGGGACAAGGGGACAAGGGGACAAGAGGACATGGGGATAATGGGACAAGAAGACAAAGGAAACAAGGGGGACAAGGGGACAAGGGGACAAGGGGACAAGGAGACAAGTGACAAGGGACAAGGGACAATGGGACAAGGGACAAGGGGACAAGAGGACATGGGGATAATGGGACAAGGGACAAAGGAAACAAGAGGGACAATGGGACAAGGGGACAAGGGGACAAGAGGACATGGGGATAATGGGACAAGGGACAAAGGAAACAAGAGGGACAATGGGACAAGGGGACAAGGTGACAAAGGGGACAAAGGGCACAAGGGGACAAGGGGGATGTGTGCGGCGGTTGTGGGGACAAAGGGGACAAGAGAGGATTTGAGTTGGGGACAGGTAATTCCGACAGGAGAGGTGGGGATGGGGACAGGAGGGGACGTGGGGACACATGGAGGGGACACCGAGGGGACAAGAAGGGCCACAGGGCCGGGAGGGGACACGGGGGACACCACGGATGCTCCGCGCTGAGCAGCTCGTGCCTCAGTTTCCCCACCCACCCTAAGGACAGGACAGCACGATGGGGGAGCTGGGGGTGGCAGAGTGTCCCCGAGGCGTCCCCAAAGTGTCCCCAAGGTGTCCCTGAGGTGTCCCCGAGGGGTCCCCGAGGGGTCCCACCTTGTTGGGCTGCGCTGCCCGGCGCAGCTCCTCGATCCAGCGGTCGCGCTCGGCCAGGGAGGCGCAGCCGAAGGAGCGGCTGCCCTCGGGGGTGATCACCTGAGGGACAGGGGGACAGCGAGGGGACAGCGGGGGGACAGGGAGGGGACAGGGAGGGGACAGCGAGGGGAGAATGAGGGGACAGCAGGGGACAATGAGGGGACAGCGAGGGGACAGCGAGGGGACAATGAGGGGACAGTGAGGGGACAATGAGGGGACAGCGAGGGGACAATGAGGGGACAGGGAGGGGACAGGGAGGGGACAATGAGGGGACAGCGAGGGGACAATGAGGGGACAATGAGGGGACAATGAGGGGACAGGGAGGGGACAATGAGGGGACAGGGAGGGGACAGCGGGGGGACAATGAGGGGACAATGAAGGTCTGGGTGCCCTTTTTGGGGCTCCCTTTTTAGGGTTCCCATTTTCAGGTTCCCTTTTTGGGGCTCCCTTTTTAGGGTGCCCTTTTTGGGGTGTCATTTTTAGGGTGTCATTTTTGGGGCTCTTTTTTTGGGTTCCTTTTTGGGGCTCCATTTTTAGGGCTCCATTTTTGGGTTCTCTTTTTCGGGCTCCATTTTAGGGTTCTCTTTTTGGGGCTCCTTTTTTGGGGCGCCATTTTTGGGGTGCCCTTTTTGTGGCTCCCTTTTTGGGGCGCCATTTTTTGGGT